CTTTTTCATGGCTATTATTTTTATTTTTTAGATTTTATTTTTGTCTATTATTAATTATTTTAGCATTAGTTTTTGAAGTTTGAAATGTTAAATTTTCTGTTTTTACACTTGTTGAAGTAGTAAAATAGTTTTGTATTGATAAAAGTGAGGTAATGGAAAATACTTAAGAGTATATAGTACTTGTTTGGTTGTTTGTTTACTGCTTCAAGACTCTTTGAGTACAACACTCAAAAGTCAAATTGTTTGGTAAGAAAATGTAGACCTTTGGACATTATTTGAATAAAGTCTATCTTTGAATAGTGGAGAGCAGATTTTGTTTGAAATACTTGACAAGACTTGAACTAGAAAATCTTGCTTTTTTGAATTTTAAGAGCATATTTTGTAGAAAAATCTGTCAAAAAAAAAAGATTTTTAATTTTTTGAAATAGCTGGTTGTGTTGATATATAGAGGGGACTCCATCACATTTTGGAGGGGATCATTTTCTGCTTTTGAACATACAACAACAAAAAAAAATTAGCAGCTGAAGCATCCTTTAGTAAGTTGAAATTTTAAGTCTTAAGAGTAAATCTTAAAGTGCAAACTTTTTTTTTTTAGAAAAGTATAAGTCCTCTTTAGAGTTTGCTTCTGGGTTTCTTCTCTGAGTTTTCGAGTTGTTTTAACACGGATTTGTTGTTGGTTTTGCTGTTGTTGTGCTGCTATTTTTATGTTGCTTTAGTTGTTGAGCTTCCATTCTTTGTTGTTGTATTTATTATTCTACGACTCAGGTAGCTCTTTAATCTTATGTTGCAGATGTTTTCACATTAACAAGAAAATGTGAACTCATCTTGATTGTTGGGAGCATGTCTATTTAAATAAATGAGTGCTTAGCTAAATTTCTTTATTGTTTAAATATATCTTGTTGTAGTTCATATGTAAAATAAATCCTTGGTTGATCAAACACTTTTTTATTCATGTGTTATTTGTCTTTACTATCTATTATAGTATTGATGCATATAAAATTGAGATGTTCCAAGTAGGTTGCAATGTGCTTAAAGACTCCTTTTGCACCTTTGCAGTTCTGGCCAGTTTATGAAAAATAACAAAAGAGACATGCTTGAAACCTTTATTTATTTTTACAGATTTTATATGTGACCATCTCTGCTAGGATTTTAGATTATTTTTTTTGGTAGAAAGTGGCTAGATCCTAAATAGGTTTTGAAATTGCTAGTTAAAAATAAGGGTTAATGGCTTAGAGCAAAAGAGGCCAGACTCGCAATTTAGCCCAGGTGGGCTGTCGTAGTAAACCAGCATTTGAAATCTATTGGGCTTTCAGCTTGTGCCCATTTCGGAGCCCAATAATTGGCCAAGGCAGATTCTATCCAATAGGCCCAATGCTTTTAAGAAGTCTATAAATATTTTGTCTACTTATTTCATAGAAGCCCAATGCCATAACTAAGTAAGCAAATTGGCCCACTTTCTCAATAAATAATATGATCTATCTTCAAAATAATACTTACTAGATTAGTTGAATAGACTTATTAAGAATTAGTTAATTTTCATGATGTGTAATAATAATCCAATAACTTAAGTACCTTCAATTAATTTAAACGCTAGGCAACCAGTAGGTCCGTTTCAACTTTTTATTATTATTATTATTTCACGGACTCGCTTGCGTAACGTGATATTAACTCTTAATATTTTAATTCAGTAATCTCATACTATTTCTATTAGCTTTAATTATTTTCTAATTTAATAAACTCTTTGCTAAACTCGCGGATTCGCTTGCATAGCGCGATAGTAACTCTTAATAAATAATTTTTTCAATGCGCAAATATAGTAATTTTTCTGAAAATAATAACGTGTTAATAATTCTTTGTCATGACTGTGGATTCGCTTAGTCTACTACTGTTATGACTAAGCCAATAAATTTTGTCTAGATTACACATTCGTTAGCGTAGTATGATTATGACATTTTATTATTATTATTATTTTATCAAATAAGTAAAAGCGGACATAAGAAAAGCATAAAAATCAAATAAATCACCGTTTATCCAAGTTTAATTCAAGCCAAATGTAGTCAATAAAGCGATCGTGCTAGAACCACGGGACTCGGCGAATGCCGTACACCTTCTCCCCGGTCAACAGAATTCCTTATCCGGACTTTGTTTTCGCGGACCAATAGTAAAAGAGTCAAACCTTCCTTTGAATTGGGATTCAAATAAAAGGCGACTTGGAACACCGACAAAAATTAATTCCAAGTGGCGACTCTGTAAATAAAATAATCCCTATTTCAAAATTGTCACTTTAATTGGAAAAACTCTTTAACCCACAATCCATAACCCACGTTATCTTTTGGAGAGGTAAAAAGGGGTGTGACAATATTTAGTGTAATAAATATACAAATTTTCCTTAGACCAACGTGGCAACTCTGAATATGGCAGTGTTATTTAGATTTCAAAGACTTTTTTTCTTTCTGCGTTTCTCTTTTAATTGGGGAAAAATATTAGAGGTAAGTCTCCCCTAGGTTTATCTTGCTTCTTTTTAGATGGTATGGTATTTGGAGATGTTTAGATAATAACAATAGATTTGTCAAGAGAATATAAGATTGTTAGTAAGCACAAAATGCGAAAAAATGGATGGAAAAAAAAAGAAAAAGATATATACCATTTACTAAAAGAAAAAATATTATTTGAAACCACCGATAGATTGTTAATTCTAAGGAAAGAAAAGGAGAAGATTGAAATTATAAAATGAGAAATCATCTTCTTAGATTAACAAAGATTGTTAAAATAGAGTGCAGTATTCCAATATTAATTTTTCATTACAAATCTTGAGATTGAATTAATAATTGGGTAAAATATTTATATTCAATAGTCAATTTTTACTATATTACTCATTACGTAATACATATATAATTCTAACAAAATATTAAAATTTTGATAAATTATTTGACATCACATAGTATAAGTCGAACCATGCTCACTGAGGGTATCATTACTGTATTATTTTTAAATTTAAGCTACTATTCCCTTTTAAGTTAAAGACTTACTTATTATTAATAGAATACAATTTAAGAACATTCAAAAAAAAAAAAACTGCAAAAGAAAGATGGGTAATAGAATCAGATAATAGCATTTTAGAATACTTAGATGAACCGATGTTAGAAAGTTGTGGGAACATATTATGAAAACATATTAAAACGACGTTAGAAATTAGAAGGATACAATTCATCTAATAATTAATTTATAATTTAATGCATGGTAAAAGGCATCAAACATTTCTTAGAGAGTACGAGCAATAGAGTAGAAAAATATGATACACCTAAACTCGATCAGGGGCTGAATGATATATTTCATCAGAATATAGAAAAATAAACTTAAAAAAAAGTTCATAAACGTACATGCGAAAAAATTCAGTGCACAATCCAAACTAAACTCTTATCAAGAGTAAGTTTTCAAGATTATTGTAAAAAGTTGACTCTATCAGAGTAAGCTTGTTCTTTGTCGATGACTTGAAGAAACTAAAAAATATTCCTACATTGTGCTTTACTTGCAAAATCAAGAGGTATGATAGCGTTAGCGATATCAACAAGTAATTTAACAATAGCAGTTTTACGAGGGGTTGTACGACTCACTCAAGATTTGATAAATCTTTTTAATAACTCACAAATATGTAAAAGCAGAGTGATGATACTAAATTGACAAGACAATCAAATTAATAATTTGGGGTGAAGCACCAGTAGTAAAGCATCACATGATCAAAATAGTTGTCATGAGCTTTCTAAATATAAATATACGTTGATGAACCATTCGACCGAAAAACATAATTTTTCAAGGTGATTTTTCAGTAATTACTACCATTAATTTCAAAATTGGAGAATATAGACTCTAAATGCTATCTTGGTAAAATCAAATTTATAGTATTAAATAACGGCTAAAAAAGTATGCGAGCAAGAATAAATTCAACATATAATGAGTTTAGGCCTTCAAATTGATATGAACATACAATTAGAGATGACTTGGTCCTTCTCTAGATCTATTGGTTTCATGCCCGATGGTAATAGTAGTATTGAAAATTGCTTAATAAAAGATATATTTTTATTATTAAATAATAGTATAAGTTATTCAAAATACATGATTGAAAAGTTATTTTAGCTAATAGAAATGAATATGCCAAGCAAATAAACAAGATATAGGTTGTCAATCATTCTACTTGTATATAGTACTTTAAAGATTTAATTTATTGTACTATATAAATAATTAATTAAAAATTTACGTGCAACGCATGTACATAGAAACTAGTATATTAGAACTAGGGACGTATGTATAAGTCTTGCAGAGGACAGGTGCCGTGCTAATCTTAATACACACTGGGTTAATTGACCAACAGTTTTGTTCTTATATACATAACAAAATCAAATATTTACCCCTCTTTCTAATATACATAACAAAACCAAATAAGTAACATTTTAAATTAAACTTCATATATCCAGTAGAATGATACCATAATAGGTCAAGAATTTTATTTCAACAAACTTGGTAGGAGGATCAGCCAGCAGCACGGCCATACATGGACAAGACTATTTATAACTTGTTTGGTCAAGTTTTTGGAAGGCTAAAAGTAATTTTTTTCACAAAATATAATTTTTTTAAGAAATTGAAGTGTTTGACCAAGACGGAGAAGTGTTTTTGAGAATCAACAGAAGCAGTTTTTCTGCTTTATGGAAGAAGGTACGTATTCTAGATTTTCCCAAAATGCAGAAGCAGAAAAATAATTTTTTCAAGATATTTAAATTCCCCAATTTTTGGCAGTTTGGCCAAATGGGCTCTTAGATGAGTTATAAATGTAAATTGTCAGTAGTAATTGTGCTGGGAGCATTTGCGATCATACATTGACTACAGTTTGGAAACGATATACTGAGAAAGAGGATCTTGCATACCTTTTTCCCTTGGTTCATTGTATTGGATGTCTCAAGGAAAATGAACACTTCCCTTTTTCAACAAAATGAACACTGTTTAGATTGACCAGAAATGGAAGGAAAACAATATAGCAAATTTAAAATGCTAGCCTTATTGTTCAAGGTTAATGAACAACAATATAACACACCGTTTCGAAGATCCCTCTGATATTCTTGTGCCATTGAGTCAACACAAACTGTTTGTCATTCAGTAGAGATTCATAAAGCTGAGCCAGCATGCATGATCGTCAAGCTAGTATAAATCAGGGTTTCCAAAGGTGGATCACAAGCTTATTGTGCGAATGCTAAGGCACCCGGCCATCAACATGAAGAAAAATAAGAAAAATACAATAGAATTTTGAATACAAGCGAGAACAGAGGAAAGGAGACCTTTCTGAAGCTGGCAGAAGAGGACCTGATGATACTCTTAAACTCGTTAGCCGGTGTAATCCATTGGTCCATAAGGATCGAACCACTCAGACAAACGACCCTTTTTCCTTTTAGGATTCCATCCCATGTCCTTGCACAGTTGGTCATTGTACCAAATATGCAATGCGCCGATGCATGATCTCCTGTAGTTCTTCAAATATGAATATCTCTTCTTGTATTTATCCCACTCTGCTATGTCTTCTTCCATGATCTTGATGCTAGGTAGCTTAAATTTTCCATCCAGAAGTTCTGCCAGCCATCGGCATCTTATTTCCGAGGTGTATAGATTTGCTATGCTTTCCGAGAATCCAATTATTGCCAGATGTGGAATTCGAGGATGAATGCATTCCCTGAAAATCATCCGGAATGACATTACTTTCACACAAGATGAGGTTATACACATAGATAACTCTGATGAACGTATGCAAAAGAATTCCCACCACTACACAAAGCTTTTAATACTCACCTATAGAGAGGAACTGCAGAGTCATCTGTGCCTGCAATGAAGTCCTGAAATCTTGGTGATTCAAAAATGTGTTTGAGCTTATCAATTCCCTTGAAGCCAGTAGCGAGTATGACTAAGTCGGATTTTATTGGTTCAGCCTGACCCTCAAGAACGATACCTTCTTTCGAGAATCCAAAGCTCTTCGCTTTCTTCAGCTTGATACTTCCTTCCCCAACTCTATCGTAGAATTCTTCAGGCACTAAAGAAATTAAACATGAACTCAATTCGTTTAAGAAACTATGCTCTGGCACTATTCCATGTTTTGCAAGCCCGAGTTTGTGTTGTATATGACTTTCTACAAATTTTGAGAAGGCCCACCTCTGTAAAAATATGAGTGATTTCTATTAGTACTGCATGTTAGTTTTGTGAGAGGAAGAATAGAAATCACATTCTTGTAACTTCGAGCATATGGGTAGTAACTTTAAGATGACTTCTAGTAACTTTGGGATGGATTCTGATATTTTGAGAAGGAATAGTAGTTAACTTTGTCGACGGTTGCTGCTCCGTTGTTGCTTCAGCAGCAATAATACTTATTTTTCTTGTTTCTTCACTTAACTTGCACACTTGCATGTATCTGTGTTACGTAACAGTCATGTATTTTGATTCTTATGCTAAACTCCACTTGTTTACTTATTTTATCCTTTTGGGTTCCAAAGTGGTGTCATGTAAAGAGTTTTTCTTTGCTTTTTTGCATTTTTTTATAACAGTTGGTGGAATAACTTTTCATTTCCAAATTCAACATCTTTCCAATTTACAAAACTACTCAGATTCTCAGTCTTTGGTTATTGAAATTCAGGTATATAACTTATATGTAGCTTAGTTTCTCTACAATGGTTAAGTTTTGAGCGACATGTACAGTCCACAGCCAGAAATGAACATTAGTCAATCTCAAAGTATTTGGCTTTGTTTGCAGATGCATTTGTTAGTTTCAATGAGAATGTATGACTAATTGTTGCTGCACATAGTTGATTTTTTTTATAAGTTTAATTAGTCAGGAAGAAAACAATTACCAAAGGTGAAAGAGTTGTCGCCAGGAGACTTAGAAGAAGGCCTTCGCCTGGTTTATGCACCATAAGTTCGGAGAATCGACTTAGGTAGAGATATGCCAAAGGGAATCCCCATGGAAAATAATCGGGAATGTTCCAATGCGGCGTCCTAGTTAATACTGTGCATGGACGTTCAATCCCTGCAAAATTAGTGCAAACAGAATCAAGCTGATGTTTATAAACAAACAATAAAGAGGTCCAGGGAATGAAGGTATATGGAAGATCAGTAGCAGTACTTACCATTAACTGTGGAGCACTCCATGGCAATGTCCATTCCTGATTTCTGGGACCCAATGACAGCTACATTTTTTCCTTTGACAAAGTTGGTTGCAGTTGTTGAGTCCATTTTGGAATAGTCCATTGAATGGATTACTTCACCTTGAAAAGCTTGGGGGCCTTTGTTTGGAGGGAATTGAGGGATATTTGGAACTTGGCTGAATCTTCCCACGCAAACTACTACAAAATCCACTTGGTATACCTGCAGCCATGAGAGATATGCCAGCTTATCCTCCATTTGATTGTAAAAATCAACTTTATGCAGATAGATATCAAGCAGGAGTCGACTCAGATAATACTAATACATACTGAATTGAACTTGTAAAAATAATTTGTAGAAGTTTTTGAAATGGCACTCTGCCGTTTATGCAGCTCTCATTGGGTTACAAACAATCATTATACACACTGCATTAGATTAGCTATTCTAGTAATTACTGGGGAATTATATTAGAACAGTGTTAGTAATTTAATACTAGCTTGTCAGCTCCACTACTCTTACTAATTAAGTATTGGCCTGGTGATCAATATATAGGACAAGCTCGGTTAGATACAATGCGTTAATGTATTCCAGTACTAGCTAGTATATGCTAGAGAATGCCAAGTTGCGTTGCTCTAGTTGTTGTTATGTAAATACTACTAATTGACCCAAAAAGTATGATGCCAAACAACCTAAACAGAATAAGTATATTTCAGAATCTTAGACGATACTACTCAAATGTCATCATCGGACCGGACGTTGACACCGACATGAATCTCGAATGTCTGAGAACATTTTAAAATAGGAGATAAAGAAAGTAGCATAGTAATGGATTTGCTATAAGGGGGTGGTTAGTTAACTAATTACCTGCGGGGAGGGGGTTCGAGTGTCCTGTACAGTTACGTTCCATTTCCCCTTAGAGCTAAAAGGCTCGCCTGTGCCGCCCCACAAATTCCATTCTCCATCAGAGCCGCCACCAGATTCATAACTGAGGCTCAACACTTTGCTATTGAACTGAATGTGACGGAGCAAATTAAAGTGATGAGCATATGATTCAATGTACTCCAGCACAGTTTGTTGGTCGGGAAACACATCGGTTACAGAATCAGGCCATGGAAAATCAGAGAACTGGTAAACAGGTCTTGGTGTCTGCAGCTTGGTACTCCCAATAGTCTTAGTCCACACACCTCCAATGCTACCCTCGGACTCAAACACAATGGGATCGAAACCTTTTGAAAGGCTGTATTTGCAGGCCAATAGGCCGCTTATACCAGCTCCGACTATTGCTATCACCTGCTTCTTTCTGCTCTCTCTTTGATTAGTTGCCATTGTTATGGCGATAGGATGAATAACTTGATTTCTGGACAAACTTTGATAGTCCTATAAGTATTAATTTATTGGTAGTTGATCTACCTTTCCTCTTGTATGATTTAAAATTCTTAATTACCCCAGCACTATAGCATTTAATTAATATCTAAACCATAAAAATATCTGAGTTATACAATACACTGCACGACAAGAAGTATTATATTCCTAGTGAGCATAAGTAATATTATTAATAAATTGCTGGCGCCAAACATGGTAATGTCGCTTTCCAAGGTCCCAGTATTACCAGATTTTGATGCTAATCAGGATTAGGTACTTAAACAGATTGCATTACTTAATAAGGGCAATGTTATTCAATTGTATGGCCCATGTCCTCCTAGGACATATCATTGTCAAGACAAATGTAGCTATCAGTATTATATAACCGTTTTACAAACGTTTCTAACTTTGATGCCAATATAAAGATATTGACACTGATATTTTCAACAAAAAATCAATCACGTGGAGACGAAGAGATGTAAAAAAATCAGGGAGGGACTTGGGAAAAGCCACTGATAGAGGATTGCGTGCACATCTGGTTCTAGTGCACATCTGGCATGCTTCCTAGTACTTTAACAAATGGTTTCGTCTGTCCAAATTGTTGCCTATATTTTCCCTGTATGCTGGAATATTTAGCAGCTGCTTATATTTTGAATATCAAATGTTTGATAAAAGTTGAGTAGGTATGGCATTGTTAGGCCATGTTCAAAAATGCCGAGGTTGCTAATGCTTGTTCAAAATAGTTGTCTCTATTGTTTTACTATTATCATAGCAATTTTTTATCACGTTGTTATTTCCCCTGCCTGCAACATATAGGAAGTGTCAAGATATTGAGTGATTTTATTTTGTGTCTCACACAACTTACACTAGTTGTGTGAGACCTCTTTTTATCTCACATATTTGTGGACCCATATCTTACACATCTGGGTCCACAAAATTTTGGGACCACACAGTTGTGAGACAAAAAAGTTGTGTGAGACACAAAATAAAATTTTCCCAAGACATTGGTTGCGTCCATGTTCCTAGTATTAGTTAGGAGATTATCATCGTAGACGGGCCATAAAAAGGAGGAAAAGTATAACCATGCTCATGCACAACTCAGAAATGTTATTGAACGTGCTTATGGAGTTTTAAAAGCAAGATTTCCAATATTGGACAAGATGGCTCTATATCCTATTGATGTCCAAAGAGATGTTGTTATTACATGTTTTGTTGTCCATAATTTTATCAGAAAAGAGCGTCTAAATGATGACTTGTTTAATCAATATGATTTACCTCAAGTAATATTTGAGGAAGAAGGAGAACATGAACAAGTATTAGATGAAACAAATGGACCTAGCTGGACAACTGAAGATTCACAGTTTATGAACAATATGCGTGAAGCACTTGCACTTCAGCTAATGCAAAGAAGAGGAAATAATTGATAGTTTCATATTTTTGTTATTAGAATTATGTTTTTAATGTTTGAACACTAGAATTTTGACATAATGTTTAATTACTATTGTTCGAATTGTGTATACACAAACACACAAACACACATACACACACACACACACACACACACACACACACACATATATATA